CCCAGAGGGCACGGCCACACCACAGTCCCTTTCTCCAGGCTCCTCTTAGGATTTCGAGCAGACACACAAGCACCTGGTGTGATTCTTCAAGCTGCTGTGGCTGAGACTCAAACCACAGTTGGCCATGTGGGAGTCCCAGTGCCTTGATGACATCACCACCTGCTGGCCTCCTATAGCAGAGACCTAAAGCAAAAATGAAAATGCTAATATTACTTATTTTAAATAGCGTAGGGAGAAACATTATCAGTTACTTTATTGTGTCATCAGAAGTCATGATACATTTTTCTATGCAAAAATATTTCATGACTTTTCTGACAATCCAATATTTACTTTTTATGAATCTAGCTAGGCCTGTATGTGTAAGAATTAGTTAGATTTTCTGGGACCAGCAGTTAGCGTAATGGCTATGTCGCTGGACTCCCACGTAGTCGACTGCGGTTTGAGTCCTAGACCCGGTGATTTAAAACTCACGCTGGGCACGTGTGCGTGCGTGGCCATTCCCCCTGGGGGGTGATTTCTCGCTTTCTGTCTCTCTGTCTGTCTCTGTCTGTCTGGCGAGCGCACGCGCCCTATAGCATAAACCTCTCCAAAAAAAAAAAAAAGAATTAGTTAGATTTTCTTCTGGTTGTTAAATAACAAAATCCAGTATCACAGTTGCTTGAAGAGCAAGTGCCTACTTCTTTCATGTTTCAGGAGGTAGACTAGGACTGATCTGTGCCCTGAAAAGCACCTCTTGCTGTCTTGTCTGTTTAATCACACAGGCTTCCATTTCCAGGCGCCTCTCTGTTCCAAGACAGCTCTTTCCGGGTCAGTCCCACAAAGAAGCAGAAAGAGAAAAGCATGTCTAGCGTTTTTAAGAGCATTCCTGAACATTGAACGCAGCAGCTACACCTTGGTGGCTGGAATGTGCTCAGATTAGATCTGAGGGAGCCTGATAAATAGTCTTGATTCTGAGCAGCCGTCTGAATGTGGGGACCCAGCTAAATCCGGAGCCCTGTGGTTGAGGAGGAGTGAGGAGGTATTGGTGGGCCACAAGCAGTCCACTGAAGGACTTCATTTAGGGCACTGCCCTGTGTTTTCTTTGTTTTTCTTCCTTTTGGTACAGAATATTGCTATCATCTCAGAAGCTGCCAGCTCGGGTATTTCATTACAAGCAGATCGGAGGGCTAAAAATCAAAGGAGAAGAGTACATATGACTTTGGAGTTACCGTGGAGTGCTGATAGAGCAATTCAACAGTTCGGTATGTCTTTCACTGGATTTCACTTAAAGGATGACTGGAAATCGTTGGGAAAAATGGGTGCATATAAAAGCCTACTTTTGGGGAACAGCAGATAGCATAATGGTTACATCGCAGGACTCCCTCATGGCTGTCTGTGGTTATGAATCCCACACCCAGCCACTTGAAACTCACTCTGGGCATGGGTGCATGTGCACCCAAGATCCCAAGAGGAGAGTGGAGAAGGGATTGTGGCGTGGCCACACCCTCACCCCCTACCCCTACCTCCATCTCATCCCCCCAGGTGGGTGATTTCTTGCTCGCTCGCTTGCTCTCTGGCAAGTGCACACGCCCTATAGTAAAAATCTCTCTTCAAATAAACAACCTATCTTTGAAGATCGGCGTGATGGTGTATACCTATAGTCCCAGCTACCTAGAAAGCTGAGGCATGAGGGTTGTGAGTTTAAGTCTAGTCTGGAACATAGATCTTGCCCCCCCACCCAAAAAAACAGTAAAAACCAAAAAACCCTTTATTTAATGTCAGATGTCTTATAACAACCTGAGATCTTAGATGTGGGGGACATTAATGTGTATCGCATACAGCATAGTGTGTAGTGCATTATTAATTCATGTCTTACGTATTTCAAAAGATGTGACTGGTGGGGTTTCACGAGGCTCTCGGTGTTAGGTCCAGAAGCAGGGCTGCTGCGAGGTTCTCCACTACAGCCCTAGCATGGACAGGGCCTGTGTCAGAGCAGCCGCTGTTTCCGTGTCCTCTTCACCCACAGTCATGGCCCTGAGACGTAGCCTGCTCCCTTGCCTTTTGTCTCATGTGACCTCGTGACTGAGCAACAATCTTGGCAGAATTCAGAGCAGCTGTGCATCACTGACATTGTGGTGGACCAGAACTGGGATAGCAGTGATGAACTTGTAATATTTAACACTTTTATGGTAGTTCCTGTGTCCCTTCAGAGGGAAGTGGTGCTCTGAGTGTTGTTGATTTTATACTTTCAGGGAGTTACGGTAATTGTTATCTTTAATTTTCTTCTTGTGTTTAAGGGTTTCTGAATATGAATCCAGTGTTAAATGCTTGGAATAGATTTCACAGTATTTCTGCCTGGTGAACACAGTGTCTTTAAAAGTGGATCTTTAAAGTTTATTTATTTATTTATTTATTTTTGCTCTAAGACGCGTGCGCTCGCCAGACAGAGACAGAGAGACAGAAAGCGAGAAATCACCCCCAGGGGGGATGGCCACGCCGCAATCCCTTCTCCTCCATTCTCCTCTCCGGATCTTGGGCATGCACACACAAGCGCCCAGCGCTTCCCAGGTCTGGGACGCAAACCGTGGTCAACTACATGGGAGTCCAGCGACATAGCCATTATGCGCTAACTGCTGGTCCCGAAAAGTTGATCTTTAAATATTGACCAGTGATCTCTCTTTCTCTCTCTCTTTTTTAAAAGAATTATTTATTTACTTTTATTCATTCATTTTATTTTATTTTATTTATTTATTTATTTTTTTTGGAGAGGTTTGTGCTAAAGGGCACGTGCGCTCGACAGACAGAGAGAGGCAGAGAGACAGAAAGCGACAAATCACCCCCCAGAGGGGATGGCCATGCCACAATCCTTTCTCCTCCATTCTCATCTTGGGATCTTGGGCATGCACACACACACGCCCGGCATGAGTTTTAAGCCACTGGGTCCAGGACACAAACCACGGTCGACTACATGGGAGTCCAGCGACATAGCCATTACACTAACTGCTGGTCCCCATTCATTTTATTTTAATTTGGCCAGAGAGATAATACAAAGAGAGAGAAAGAGGGAAAGTGAGAAAGCAAGCCACCAGGTCCAGGACTCAAACCATGGTCAGCCATGTGGGAGTGTCTAGCACTTTAACCACCATGCCACCTGCTCATCCCCATCAGTGATCTTTAAAACAATGTCATTACAGGACGAACTCACAGATCAAACCAAGTTACTGCTCCCGAGTATGTCTTTCTGATTTCCGAATTGGCAGGAGAACAAAGATTTGCTTCTATTGTTGCTAAGAGACTTGAGAGTTTGGTAAGTTTCTCAGTTGTGTAGATAGATGTGAAAGATGGTCTGTGTCTTACCTGTCTTCTGGTAAAGTGTTAACTGTGTGATGGAACATTTCTTGTTTTGGTAGGGGGCGCTTACACATGGTGACAGAAGAGCAACAGAGTCCAGGGACCTGAGCAGGTTCAACTTTGACAACAAGGTGCATCTCAGCTACGGTATCTCTAAAGACTTGTGGTGAGGTGTGGAGTGAAAACACAGGGGAAGTGGCAACTGTTGCAAACTGAAAACTGCCTCTCTTCACAGCTTTGTTTTGAAATCATGATTTCCCTTAAAATACAGGATGTATTCGCCAATAAGTTAGATCTTTGGCGATCACCTTTACAATGTAGTTATCTTTTCACTCCCAGTAGGCATACAATAAGTACTTGTGAGTCAAGTATGAATTTCCCAGAGTAAAGAACTTAATCATTTATTAAAATGTCTGTCGTGTATAGAGGCATGAAATAGGCAATATAAAATACATATTGAGAACGGCTGCTTTTGGCCTTTTTATATAGTAATTTTTATAGCATTCAAGTAGTCGTGATCAAAGCGTATATACATGCTGAAACTGGTTAACGTTTTTTATTATTGCAGTATGGAAGAAATGCTTTAGAAATTGTTATGAAATCCATTGTAAACTTGGATTCTCCTATGGTTTCACCACCTCCAGACTATCCTGGAGAATTCTTTAAAGGTAACCTAAAAAGTAATAATAAGAATGGAAAATGATTACTGACAAAGATGTATTGAAACTTGTTCTAACACTACTGTTGCTAATTAATTAAATAGCCAGAGGACCCGTGTGCTTTATCAGAGGCAGAAGCTGCCCCAGCAGTGTCTCATCATACCACAGTCTCTTTTCCCGTATTTCTCCATCCTGTCAGTTTGGGGCGTGCACAAGCCGGCATCTGTTGTTTTTTCCAAGCTCCTAGGGCTAGGACTTGGACTGTAGTTGGCCTAGTGGAATCTAACTCCCTTAACCACTACTGTTTGGGGCTCACCCAACCTGTAGCTTTTCTATTTTTTCTTAAAGAGATTTTTGTAATATAATGTGCTTGCCAGGGGCCAGCAGTGGCATGGGGAGTAAGGGTGCTGGACTCCCACATGGCCGACTGCAGTTTGAGTCCCAGATCTGGCAGCTTGCTTTCTCACTCCTCCCCTCTCGTCAAATTAAAATAAATAAAAATAATTCTTAAAGAATGCACATGAGAAAAACACACAGTGAGACAGTAATAAAGTGAGAAATAACCCCCCAGGGATTATGGCTGTGCCTCAATCCCGTCTCTCTTCTCCTCTCAGGATTTTGGGCACATACTCAAATACACCCAGTGTAAGTTTCAAGCTGAGTCTGGGACTTGAACTGCAGTCAGCTATGTGGGAGTCCTTCATCTTAACCACTATGCCACCTGCTAGCCCCACCAGTAGTTTTGTTTGTTTGTTTGTTTGTTTGTTTTACTAAGCCCTATAAACCCCCCTCTCAGCACTCTACAGAATATGTTGATTGTTTGATTTTTTTATTTTAATTTAATTTTTTTAGAGATTTTTGCTACAGGGTGCATATGCTCACCAGACAGATAGACAGAAAGTGAGAAATCCCCTCCAGAGGGGATGGCCACACTACAATCCCTTCTCTTCCATTCTCCTCTTGGGATCTTGGGTACACACGCATGTAACACCTGGCATGAGTTTTAAGCCACTGAGTCTGAGACTGCAGTCAGTTACATGGGAGTCCATTATGCTGTCTGCTGGTCCCCAATTCTTTAACTTAAGCATTGCTTTTACAATAATAATAGATAACATTTGAAAGGACGTTTTATGTCCTTACTGTCACCATTACTGAGTGTTGTTTTGGTGCTATGGACAACCGCTGCATAGATGTCACCACACAGGGCTACTGTAGGAGAGATAAGGGGTCTTAGTGATGTCGCAGAGTGTAGTGTGCACCTTGATTTCGCTAGGATTTTGGAGTGGCCAGACCTTTGGGGAACGTGGGTTCAGTTTAATTTAAACTGTGGAAGAGATCCAGGCTGTGTTCTAATGTTAGAACTTAATCTTGTTTGATCAGTTAGGTAACACCTTATTGAGTCATTTGGATTATAAAGTTTCTTACAAGTTTAATTTCTTACAGATGTTCGACAAGGACTGATAGGAGTTGGGCTGATAAATGTAGAGGATCGCTCAGGAATCCTGACTCTTGATAAAGGTAATGCTGTGAACTTGGTGTGTATGTATTTCTGTTAGAGTTAAAGCCTGTTTTGTGGTGTGTACTTTTGTCAACAGGAGAAACTTTAAAGGTTAGTGGTTTTCATTTCTGGTTATTGACCACTCAGACAGTTTTCAATACTATGGGGTTATCAGAAGAGACTAAACTTTTTTTTTTTTTATTTGAGAGGTTTTTTGCTATAGGGCGCGTGCGCTCGCCAGACAGAGAGAGACAGAGAGACAGAAAGTGAGAAATCACTCCCCGCAATCCCTTCTCCTCCATTCTCCTCTCGGGATCTTGGGTACGCACACACACGCGCCCGGCGTGAGTTTTAAGCCACCGGGTCCAGGACTCGAACCGCGGTCGACTACATGGGAGTCCAGCAACATAGCCATTATGCTAACTGCTGTTCCCAAAAGAGACTAAACTTCTACGCAGTCCTTGGTGTAGCAGTTCTCAACCTTGGCTGTAAATATGATCAGCTGTCAAACTTGTTAAAAAATACTAAAGCTGGGGCCAGCAGGCAGCATGGACTGCCTCGTGCCAACCTCGGTTTGAATCCCAAACCTGGCAGCAGCTTTTTTCACTTTGTCTCCCTCTCCCTCTCTGGTCAAATTAAAGTAAATAAATAAATACAGTTAAATAAAATAATTCTTAAAAACCCAAAACAAAAAAAGAACAAATACTAAAGGCAGATTGGCTCCATGCTGTGCTGGGTAAAGCAGCCGGATCCCACTTACCAGCCCACAGACCTGGCAGCTAGAGAAACATGCCAAGTGCATGAGTTGTGTCCCGAACCCCTACAGTATGGAGAAATGGAGGAGAAGGGACTGCAGCATGACCATCCCCCGTGGGAAGTGCTTTCTCTCTTCTCCTTCGCCTGTCTCTCTCAGGTAAGCGTGCTTGCTTATAAAATTTTTAAAAGCCGAAGCCACTAGTAGAACGCAGACAATGCAGAGATTGGTCCTTTTCCTGAGAATCCTTCTCACTTGAATTGTGCAGCTAAGCTGTGATTTAGGGACTTGGAGCATATACTTTTCCAAGTCAAGTTACTGTTGAGAACCAACTTTCCTGTGTGGTGAGTTGTGTTCGTGCCTTCTATAATTAGATAGGAAAACCTGAATTGGATGGGGCCTCCTAGGTAAAGTGGTGTTTAAGGCACTGGATCCCACATGGCTGACTGCACAGTTCAAGTCCCAGAACTGGCACTTTGAAAAACACACCAGGCACGTGTATGTGTGTATGCATGTGTGTGTACACACCCAAAATTCTGAGAGGATAATGAAGGAAAAGGGACTGGCGTGGCCATCACCCTAGGGGTGGGGGTGATTTCTTTCTCTCTCTCTCTCTCAGACGCTATAGCGCAAAAATTTTAAAAAACATATTGGGCGAGCTGCTTGTGACCATGCGCGAAGATCATGCTAATTGCTAGAGGTAGAGAGGGCCAGCCACACCCCGTTTGTAGGGCCGGCCCAGCAGGCGGGGAAGACTAGGAGAAGAAAGCATGGTGTCAACTAGGCCTGTGGACTGAGCATATTTTAGTTGTTGTTTGAATGCATGGATGTTCATACATTGTTGTCATTGCAGACTACAACAACATAGGAAAATTCTTAAATAGAATTCTGGGCATGGAGGTGCATCAGCAGAATGCCTTGTTTCAGTATTTTGCGGACACGCTAACTGCAGTTGTTCAAAATGCCAAAAAAAATGGAAGATATGATATGGGGATCTTAGGTAAGTGGGGACGTTTTTTAAATTAAATGCACATGTGCTCCTGATAAAAATGTTTTTTACATTTACATGGTTGCTTTTTCTTGTCCAAGATCTTGGTTCTGGAGATGAAAAGGTGAGGAAAAGTGATGTTAAGAAGTTTCTGACTCCAGGATATTCAACCTCTGGCCACGTAGAGTTATACACAGTAAGTGTAGGGACTGTGTACATGGGCGTGGTTTTCTTCAGTGAGAGGCGTTTGTGAGTTTCGTTTCAATTTTCTTGTTTCTTTTGCAGATTAGTGTAGAGAGGGGAATGTCCTGGGAGGAAGCCACCAAGATCTGGGCCGAGCTGACAGGGCCGGACGATGGCTTTTACTTGTCCTTGCAGGTACGACCTCTTCTATAAGTGTCAACTATTCAGACTGATGATGTGTTTCCATTGCCAGCACTATAATTCTCTCTCTCTCTCTCTTTCAGTTTTCCATTGTTTTTAGCTTCCTCTGTTTTGATCGTTTATCATTGTAATTATGTTTGTTCTCTTGCATACTTTTTTACGTAATGTATTTTGAGAGGTGATATTAGATACAGGTTTAGAATTCTTAGGTGGTTATAGTAAATGGAGCCCTTTTTCATAATGTAGGTCACTTTCAGGTAATAATGATGCTTTATGTCTTAAAAGCTCATTTTTCAGTTATGTAACAACATTCTTTGGTTAATATTTATGGACAGAACTAAGGAAGAGGGATGTGTGTGCTCATGTGTGAGTGTGTACTCGCAAACATGCCAAAGTGTGCACCTGGTAATACATGTACATTCGTGTATGATAGCTTTTTTTTTTTTTTTTTTGAGAGGTTTTCGCTATAGGACACATGCGCTCGCCAGACAGACAGAGAGAGACATAGAGACAGAAAGCGAGAAATCACCCCCCGGGGGGATGGTCACGCTGCAATCTCCTCTCCTCCAATCTCCTCTCGGGATCTTGGGCACACACGCACACGCGCCCAGCGTGAGTTTTAAGCCACCGGGTCTGGGACGTGAACCGCAGTCAACTACGTGGGAGTCCAGCGACATAGCCATTATGCTAACTGCTGGTTCCCGTGTATGATATCTTAAGTTCATATCGACTTGTCCCATTCAGTCCACGTCTATAGAATTTTCATTTCTCCATTTGTAAACAGATCCTTGTCTTCTTTTCTCCATACCAAGAATCCTGGTTCTCCAGGTCATGTCAGATAACTATCTTGTACGGTTGAGCAGGGCAGGAGTTAGGGACACCGACCCCTGTGCGTTTGACAGCCTGTGTGTGACCTTTGACTCCCCCAAAAGTCAACAGCTATTAGCCTACTATTTACCTGGAGCCTCACCCGTAACAAGCAGTTGATGGACACGGCTTATACATTATACATATTACATATTGTGTCCTTCCAATAAAAGGAGCTCTAAATAAGAGAAAATGTTACAAAAAAAAGTCACATGGAAGAGAAGATACACTTAAAATAGTTGGTGGAAAAAAAATCTGCCTGGAAGTGGATCCATACAGATCAAAGTTCAGTTGTACTCCAGTATTCCTGAAAGAGTTTAAAAAGCAAAAACAACTGTTTTTGCATATGCTTCCACTTTAAAAGGTAATTGTGCTGCTTTGTCAGAGTGCAGATAGCAGTTGTAAGGCATAGTCTTCTCTCAACCCCTAGTCTTAGCTCTGCGGGTGATTACATTAGTGCTCAGCACTCACTGGCCTTAGGTTAATAACTTCCTAGTCATGCCGTTGTGGGTTCCTCAAGAAAAGGACAGCACCCCTGCGTTCCTGCATGCCCACAGGTCTGTGCTCTGCGAACTGGAAGGCCTTTTACTGTGTGTGACATCTTTGGTTCTCATTTTGTCTCGAGTCTCTTGAAACACACTGCTGCTGTTCTGGGATAAAGGATTGCTGTTCACCTTTGCCGATTCTCTACGTTCTTTTCACTTTAATTCAGTTCTTTT